AGAATGGCCGTATGGACTCGGCATAGAATAGGCCACCCCTTCCTATCCTGTGGGTGTCGTAAGAGCAGACTAAGGGTGAGGAATGGGCAACAGCCTATTAAAAGATTTCTAAAACTTGACTGCGGTTGCTAACCTGCTTGGTAAGCGTGGTAACTACTGGTAAATCTCCCCAAGGGATGGCTTAGCAGTAGACAGTTAAATGCTAACATGATGATGATGATGATGATGATGATGATGATGATGATACACACAGAAAGGGCGGTACAAATACACTTTTACAATGTTTGTTTACTCATAAATAATTTTACACACATCAAAAGTAAAATAATTGAAATAAACATTTTTTTCTTTTGTAAAACTAGTTTAAACTGCTATTAACATTACAGACAGAGGCGACGGATGCTGAAATAAGTTTATTTAAATTTCTTTTTATCTTAGTTCGGCAACGGATGCTAATTTCCTTTTTATTTCTAGACTAGTAGTATAATCTAGCAGTTTTAAAGAATATTGTAATACTATTATTGTGAATTGTTTTTGTCGAAGCATTTATGCGGGGACACTATATTACGAGTATCTAATATATAAATAATATATACAAATATCTTGTGTGCGATGTTTGTTCACGCTAATCTCGGCAACTGCTTAATCTATTTTAATTATATTTTTTAAATGTGTATTTATTTATAATATTTAGAATGGTAAACAAGCTGAAGTCCCGCCTCACCACCGTTGCCTATAGACACTGTTTATTCAAAATTGTGAATAAACAGTTTTTATACTAATCTTTATAAGAAGAAATGGTGTTGTAAATAAAGAGGAAAACAATACTTAAACACACATGAACCTATTTTTATGTTCGTAAAGGGTTTTAAGATTCTTAGAAAAAAACGGGGCAGAAAAAAGCCAGCTAGTTAGAGTAGGTACTATATTGTATCAACGTGCACCGAAGATTAACAAATAAATGGAGTATCGTTCAGCTTTAGTACAATAAATCACGCCAAAATCCCTTGGGTTGAGGTTTTTAAGAGAGATATATATGAATTTTCCACATTTATAAAGCCTTAAAACCCTGGTGGCATCGTTAGATAGTCACCAATTCTATCTATATTACCATAAAAACATGTATGAACGAATTAGAGCAAACCCGGTGTAAACAGATAAACATACAATACGTAATATTATATATTATTTTTCCAAAAAAAACATCGAATTTTGATTCAATCAGTAAACTACTGATTGAATCAAAATTCGATGTTTTTTGATGGATATTTTTTAATGAAATTTATATGGTCAATTTTCTAAATCGACTTTTATAAACGTCGGAGTCCTGAAGTAACAAAGATAAAAAATATAAATGAATGAAAACTTCCTTTTTTAAAGTCGGTTAAAATTTAATAATAGGAAAATAAATTGTTTCCTTTTAGTTTATTTATCTAAAAATTCCATATAAGAATTACATATTTACACTACACATATAAAAACTATATAACAGTTATCTGGTTTCAAGCATAAAAGTTTCTAAGTATACTCGTATTTATTATAAAAATTTCACGATAAATATAGAAAGTTTTATAAATTATTATCCAAAGTGACGAACTTACCTAAGAGCTCCTTAAAATTTTCATTAATTAGTTCAAACTCATTATTTTGGAAATTTAATGAAAAAAAAAAGGATAAAAGGGCACCGTTACCTGTCCGACCATTAGGATCATAGTACGTAAACGAGATCAAACTAATTAATTGTAGAAACATTTCACCCTACTGCTCGGCTTTGTGACTACAACAAAACGTTAATTAAAACGAATTCAACTTTCATTTCAAGTTGTTATTGTTCTAACTGGGTGTGAGAGTCGGACATGTCATTTGGATAAAATTTGCTAACTTATTAATGTGAAAATGAATTTGTTTCTTAGACGCTTTAACTGCTCGAGCAGTTGTAATGAAATTTATTCCATATGTGATATTTGTGATGAAAAGAAGGTAGGCTCTTATCCTGGACAATCAATTTGTCACGGAAAGGGGATAATTGTAAACGAGGACTAGTAGCCCCATTGTTATTAATATATCTTATTAAGTTGATCTCAAGGTTTTCTATCTTGAAAACCATTGTGGTTAATTCTTGGTGAATTCAGTATAATTCACTAACTGACGTTACTTCATTCTCATCTGTTATGCTTGTACCAGTGGGTACCCTGCTAGTTGCTATTAAGCTGGACTATAATTTTATTTACATTCCGTTTAAAAGAAACTTACTAATATTATTTATGTGAACGTGAGTTTGTTTTGTGAAATAACTGCTCAACCATGGGGGAAAGGAATTGTTGGCGATGTAGATTTACTAGCGCCATTGCTATCAATATATTTTGTAAATTATCTTGGTTAATTCTTGTGAAATTCGTCATGTTGGGCTTACTGGCCTGCTTTCATCTTCATCTCACTAGTGCCTCGCCAGCGTATACCGATAGCGCAAGCGAAGTTAATATTCCATTGTCATTTATTATATATCCTTGTTAATTTTATGTTTTTTTTTTTACAACACGGGGCAAACGAGCATGCGGCTCACCTGATGGTAAGTGACTACCGCCGCCCATGATCACCCACAACACCAGCGGCATTGCAGGTGTGCTGCCGGCCTTTTAAAAAGGAATATACTCTTTTCTTGAAGGTTATGTTGTCGTATCGGTTCGGAAATGCTGCTGGAAGTTGATTCCAAAGAGTGGTTGTAAAAATGAGTTTGTTATCTTATAGCGTCTTAATATCTCTATGAAATTTGGTACATACGTACTATAAGTGATCGAGGATAATTTTTATCGCGGTCAGTAAACATACGCCGTCACGCGAACGAATTCGTAAGTAAAAGCTATTATAAAATATTTTAATTGTTTATAAAAAAGATTAAATACTTCATAATTCTGTTTCACAAAATATACAGTAATTTCAAGTTATTTAAACATATGAGTAACAAATATTTACAAAGAGAATGATGTGCAAATCTTTTTTCTTTGTATAAATATTCGTTGCTGATATCAACAATATACTGCTGATACCAGTACATAGCAGCAATAACGATCCAAAAGCATTATGTAAATGATATTTTAAACCGATTTCAAAAAGGAAAAGGTTTTCACTTCTGTACCTTTGTCAATTTTGCACCGATTTCCATAATTCTCTTTACAATCGACATAGCTTATTCTTGTGGTTTTGTTCGTTTTTTACAATTAAAGGCAATTTATTGTGGAATCAAATCTTTTTATTGTCTGTCCATTTGTGTGTATTCTAACGATGCTTTTCTTATGGAATTCATGAGTGACTTTATTTTGATTTCGATTAATAACGTTAAAAAAGCGTTTCGTTTTACTTGTTTAATAAAAAAAGATTATGAAAAAATGTTTCCATTCTCCCCAATGGGGAAGATTAATTATAACAAGTTGCAAAGACTCGGCAAGTAACAGCGGACCTACTAAAACTTTTTTGCGTTCGTTAGTGCCGCTTTTGTAATCAAAACCCAGTTTTAAATGGATTGCTAGCAGGAAATAGTAGCTGTTATAATTGTTCTTATTGTTTGTGTTATAGTGTTAAAAGCAAAATGAGCGAATTGTTCTCTTGTCATTTGCATCTTAATTATTAATTAATTTTTCAATAACTTTTTTAACGAAACCTTTATAAGGATCTATTGTTCATTTTTATTAGATTTTATGTTAAATATTGTTTACAGAACGGCATTACTTGGAAAACTAATGAAGAGGCAATAAAATTTATTTCAATGTAACTAATTGCGTTATCGATGTTCACTATAATAGTAAACTTAGGAAAAGGTATATTGTATTAGATAATAGAAGTTAGCAATAATTTTATTCTAAAAACTCTCTAAAATTCTACAATAACTTGTATTAGGTATTGAATCGATAAGTTCATTTTTATGATGCCCCTTGAAAACAGTCCAATTAGATGAATTGCAAATATCAATCGTTTGATCCTAAAGGAAAGATCTGCTTGACTTTAATGGGTTCAAACGTGGAATTTTTACCTTCTCTCCATTTAAAAGTATCTATTTGTACCTACAACATAATGTACAAAAAGGTCGAATTGATGTTTGAAATTCGCAATTGCAAATAAATTAGAAGGCATACAGGCATAAATTCAACGAAATGTACCCGTAAAAGCGTATCTTAGTGTTTGGGAATAGGATTTGGTGAAATTTATAGAGGTTAAAGATAGGTCGTAAGTGGTCCTACTGCGTGCATGTAATAGATAAAATAAAATAAAGTTCTGTTTGAATAGCAGTAATATGAGTCTTCACTTAGTTGCATCATAAAAATAATAATATAAATTTTTATTTATAAAGATTTATAATAATAGATATTTTAGTCAAAACGACAGATCAAAAGTCAATACTTTGTACATTACGCAGTTATGTTTTTGAGGTACGCAGCTTTACATGTGACAAATACAACATATATGAAATTTTATATAAATGCTCCTACACGACATGTGTTTTCTGCAAACGCTGTAAGAATATTTTGATTTTATAATTACATAAAAATAGAATAAGCAGGAAAGCCTGCGCTATTGTTTTTTTCCCATTGCAAAGGAAGGTTTTCGAATTGGAAAATTATTTTTTTAGTTCACTTTAATTTACTCATTCACTTCACTAGTTCTTCTACAATTGAAAAGGATTATTTCCGAGTTCATTCTAGACAAGAGCACGATGGAATCCGTGGTAAATCCTCCATCACTAGCGATTGTATAAATCATAACGTAATATCTATCTACCTGTCTTATCTTGTAGCAGTGTCACCGTGACATAAAAGCTTTTGAATTTATGAAAATTGTAGTCGATTTGAATAAAAAATGTATTATAATATATTATTTTACAATGTCTGTGATTGTATGAAGTAAGTCTAAGAATGACGGTTGATAAATAATAGTCTAATGATGTTTTTTTTTTATTTCTATAATGAATTTCTAATAATTAGTAACAATTATGTATTATTAATTACCTGTTCAACGGATCCATACTGTCTCCGTGAGAATACTCCTCGTCTCGAGATTAGCTCGCTCGCTGAAGAACTGTAAACAATAAAAGTTACATTAGATTTTTTTATTCCAGATCAGAGAAAATTACTTCAAATTTACTAATATATATTACTATTTACGTAATAATTAGTCTTAATAACAAATTATTTTGAGGTGTAATTCGGGTCAAAATTCACAAATTATTATGTAGTTATTACGCATAAGCATTTTTATCAACAAGAAACTTAGGGCAAGATTGAGGACTATGTATATCAAATATCAATTTCCTTGCAATGATAATAGGACCTCTATTATTATTGCAAGGAAATTGATAAAATTTGCATTCTGAAGTAGATGAATTCAAACAAATGCAAACTCAAAATATAAATGTAAATTATGCATTAAAGTCTTTTCTGTCCTGTTATATTAATTGAATTCAAATATCTTTCACTATTTTTTAGATTACTATAAGGCTAATTATATTTGTTTGTCATTGTTTAATTGCTTCTATATAAAATGTATTAAGGCTGCGGTGCGAAATCAGAAGAATAAATACCAAAAGATTTAAAGAGACACAAGAGAATAATAATTTCAAAACATGCAATACTGTCGTGTAAGTACTTAGTGCTGTGAAATAGGTACGTAGTTACGTAGTACTTACGAGTTGTATAGTATGCAGGTAGCACTATTTGAAAGAGTCTTTTAATAATGAAATGTTTTCGTAATAATCTTTACTCGCAATCTAATTTTTTTTAAATCATTTTCGTGTACAATCTACAATAAGAATGCATATAGGCAATTTAGTATCTAGGAAAAAGGTAGGCAGTGAAATTATTCGCTACTCAAACATCTCAATAAACTGTAGGTCTGTACCATTGTTAGATTTTTCGAATGTTTTCAAAAACACAGTAACAGATCGCAGTTTTTGACGAAATATATAGATAGATAGATATACATATCTTAGTTTTTAATTTTATTATAATTCGGCAAAAAGTACATATACTAAATGTACCATAATATTTAGAGTATGTAAAAGAGTTTTGTTCGTCGATGCACAGTTCACTGATCTTAATATTGCCATAAAATGAGCCGAACAATTGTATGTATTATCAACTGGGGATTAATAAATAGATATAAGTAAAAGACCAACCAAGTTCGGGAAGAGAAAGTTAATATTTATTCGAATGGTTATTTGTAGTTGCAGAACTACTTTCAGAGTCAGACCATAGACAAAACATTAAGATTTTTTCTATGATCAGATTTCAGAGATATTGGATTTAAAAAGGGATTTATTAGATAATTATATTTGATAACGATCTTGTTGCGAGTACCTGTATAAAGTTATAATAAAAATGAAACGAGTTTTTGACAAAACACTATAATATTGTTACGGTGAAGAGATATTTTAAATACAGAATGAAACTAAGAGTTTTAAAGTAAAGAATAACAAGGGATGCTACTAGTACGGTGTGTTTTTTTTTTTAAATATTGTTATCTATATCTATGATGCTACGAAACTATCTAAAATAAGAGTTCTTCAGATTGCGTTAAAACTATCTCTCATATTAATAATTGCAATATTAGTCAATTACTTATTTCTATAGTTTAACAAATGTAGATATAATTTTATGCACTACTATGATTTAAATTTAAAATAGTTTTGGCTTAAATTGAAACATAACACGAGTGTCTACGTATTATAAATATAGTTCACTGTAGTATTTAATTAATAAAGTTTTCGCTACGATATGAAACTGAATATTTAGTTTTACAGTTAGATTCTCTAGCGCTTCAGAATCTTCTCCAGTGATTTTATTTGCTCTAATTGGGTTTAGAGTTGCGAGAATATGTTTCCTTTACTTACAAATTAAAATAAATATATACATTTTCACTTGGTATAGTAATGTTTATTTAAAAATAGGTACTCTTACATTGCTAATATTATACACGTGTACATATATTGTCAGAAACACATGGCGGAATATTATATTTGGCAATAAAATAATATATTCGGCTCATGCAACATATAGCGTTTTTTTTTCTTTTCCCGTTCATTGACCTTATTCATGTCAACTTTTTTCGTGGAACAGTCTCTTTGTAATAAATCTTTCTCTATGTCAGTACACAAAACAATTCTATTATAGGTAAGTAGGTACCTATGAGCTTTATGTCGAATTTAGATACAGTAAAGTACTTAGTAACAATAAGACAGGGATAATTAAATTTATTCCTCAAATGTCTTCACGAATAGGTATACAAATTATATTAAATATATTCCACTGTGCTTCCTATATTATTGTTAGTCTATTAATGTTATGTCAATTTACAAAGACTGACTATTATTATCATAAAATAATTTATCTATCTTCTCGCCAAGTCTTTTTCTGTATAAGTGGAATAAAAATATGAAAGACTAGCGGCCCGGTACATATAAAGTTTAATAAAAAAAAAATTAAATGACTGCATGAATTACATAATAACATGCTTGTACTGTCAACATTGAAAAAAGTTTCAATTTGACAGCACAATCCCCATCTTAAAAAAGTTTGAATTTGACACAAAAATCCCAATTAACAAAATGATCCGCCATTTATTGAATTAATTTGTTACCAAAAATGTGATAAATGAACAACCGCTCGACCGATTTTGTGCAAACTTCACATAAACCATCTACTAAATAGTCCGAACGAAGTCTAAACATTTGGTTTGGATAGGTGAGCCCGTTCTTAAGTTATAACAACGAAAAGTGGCATTAATTTTCATATATATAGATTGTATATTTTGACTTCATTCCGCTTAAACGACTGAGAGTGTGGTATATAATCAGGTTTTGATTATAAATTTAAGTGGGAAAAGTTGTGGGATTCAACTAGTATGTACGCGAATGCTTAAAAGTGATTAAGTGGGATGCTAAGGATTTGTAATTAAAAAAAAAAACAATTATTAATGATACAGTTTGTTAGAACTATTAAGTTCAGATTTATTGTTTGATTAGTGACATTTTTGAATATGTATGGAGTCTCAAAGTTTTTATATAAGAGTATAATAAAGAAAATAAAAAAAATTGAATATCTATTGCGTTATACTACAGTCAACTATTTTCAAAATCTAAAAAGCTTTTATATTTCTTTTTTCTAGTCAGGTCCAATACCATATTTATCTTATATTGTCTTGACTTCTAGAAAAAAAAAAATACTACTATGAATGTCTTCAATATAATGAATACTTTTGTTTACTCTAAGGGGTGAGTGTGGAACCATTACGAGCAGTCAATCGAATAATGAAAGTATAATGAATGTAGAAAGCTAATTTAATAGAATGGCGTTCGGATTGAAAATCCCTTTTTGTGACGAATGCTTACAGCCCGTTTGTAATTAATGAAATTTTGGATACAAATCTAATATTATAAATACGAAACTTTGAATCAATAATTCAAAAGATATTTGAATATTTGTTATGGATAAATTGAAATGATTTTTTTTTTATATAATATTCTCAAGTGCAATAAGCACTTGTAAATTACATTGTTAATGCATTTATAAATATTGTGAGCAAAGGTGGACTTATCTCTGATAGAGATCTCTTCCAGTCAACCCAATGCAGTTAGAAAGCATATTGTTAGCGGGTAGTTGAAGTGCTACAACTATTAAACAAATATGGTACAAAAATAAGCACTGTTTGTTAAACAATTCAATTATTTAGCACTATAACTAAACTTATAGTATATTTAGTAGTTCTTGTCCAAATTTCAATTTTTTTTCTTTTTGTACAAATTTTATTTATATAAAGAATTCGCGAAGTCATATTTTTAGATTATGTCGAAAGAAACGAGATTTGGCTTCCGATATTCATTGAGAGCTAAGTGCGTTATGTCGTACTCCATTCTAAACACAAAATGTGTGTCTAATTTAAAGATAGTGTAGTGCAGAATCAACAAACAAATATAAATAAGATTTAACAATATGATTTGGTCCTATAGATCCTTTTTTTATACAAAATTATAGTCAGAGGAAAAATAAATTATTTATAATACCTATTTTTTATACAAAAGTAATCACAATTAGATAGACCTTGAAAATGATTAGTAAGATTCGTTTGTACTAAAGTTTTTCACCTACATAGTTTAGCAGCTTGAATTAAAATTTCCAATAATTTGGAGTGCGCTTTTCTCCGGTGGCCTCTTGGCTTGTCGGCTTTTGAAATATCGCTTACAGAGGCCCTTGTCCCGTACTGATGGCCCTTGACACTGGCCACTCAAATTCAACATGGAGCCTTGGACAATTCAACTTGTCCTAATGATATATGCCGGTCGCGCGGTTGTTTGCTAATATACGCAGCTTTTTTATGATATGATTGTCTTATGAGATAAACATTGCCCAGAAATATTAAGCTTCATTTTGTCTTCATAATAGGTTTATTTTTTACTTAAGGATCTCTCACAAGGAATATTTTAAGGGAACACACCGCTACTTGTACATGAAAAATAGATATGTTTATCTGTAGCACAAGATTAAATAGTTCAAGTAAATATAAATTATTTAGTAACAATTTTCGAATATTAATTATAATTATACATTAAACTTTAAGCTCTTAAACTAAGATAAAAAATATATATAACGTGTTTAAAAAATAGTACAATATTTATATAAGAGAACAACCGCAGTATAAGGAATACTACAAAAGTATAAAGTAGTAGTCATAACTCAGAATACTCAAAGTATAACTAATTTACAAAAATACTTATTCATTGTAAATAAGAGCGAAGGAATATGTTCATACGCAAAATTCTTTGTTCCCGCTTTAATGGATCTATTAATAAATTAAACCAAGCATTTAAGAGGATTATTAGATACTTGTTAAGAATATTATATTTCAAACATCGTAATATAGCTGGAACAGCGAAAGTCTATTAAAGAGCGCTGTTCCAATCCAACAAGCTTGCGCCTTGCAAACCGTGTTTATCCCATTAAGTATCGATATTACAGGGACTTACTTTTTACTGGCATTCGTTACATATTAAAAATCAATCACAGCATTATTATGGTTTGATACTT